GGATTGATCGCATTTTGTCCGCTGAGTTTGACCCCAAAGTCAAGGAAGGCAACACGCTGAGAGGTAGAGAGCCGAGCTTTTCTCGCTGCCACTTGGTTTCGAAGCACTCGCGCTCCTAATAAAAACCGGCCGAAGCCCAGGCGTCCCCCCCAGAGAGAGGGCCGGAGCTCTCTGGCACGACAGCCCCGGGGGCCGGGGCCGGGGCCGAGCCAGCCTGGGCCTCGGGTCCCGTCCCCGCCGCCCCCTCCCGAGCCGCTCTGCGCCCCCAACCCCCTGGGCTTGTTCCTCCCCCAGTAGCTCGGCGCTTGTAGGAAGCCTCTGGCTGCAATCGGGCTGCCCCGGCCGGGCGTGAGCGCGCTGCCAAGGCCGGGAGCTCTCCTCTGGGGAAGGATTGCGCCTCGCCCGTTCAGCCCCGGCTCGGATGCCCCCGCCGTGTCACTCCTGCAGGGCGATTTCTCTCCAGGCCCCTGTGTTGTGTTTGGCTGGAGGAGAGTAACAGCACAGCCCTCTCCTTCCCGTCCCAAACACGCACCCGCGTTAAGGGGCTCAGATCGCTTCATTCGAGGCTTCAGGGCGGGCGGGTTTCTCTTGCAATGTAACAGAGCTCTCCTTGTTCCTGTGCTCGCAGATCTGACCTCCTTATTAACTACAAGCCGCCAAACTGGGGTTCATCTCCCCACCTTGCAGCCTTCAGCCAGCCAGTTCTTCGCGTCTCTAGATCCCATTAACGAGGCCGCTACTATCCTGGGTCCCTTAAACACAAACCCAAGGAGTTCAGTTCAGCACCAGTTTCAAGACACTTTTCCAGGTACAAATCCTCCCTCTTAAATCCCTCCCCGCCCCAGGGCCGGTACCGCAGGGAAGTCAAATCCGCCTAGGTGATTTTGCCCCTCCGGGCCTAGCTCGTTTAACTCAAAACGATTTGGCAGCTGCTTGGAGCTGAAGGCTTCCCCCGCCCCTCCTCTAGTGAGGATCTCACTTGTAACAGCTCCTGAATAACCACAGTCATCGAGGTGGGCTGCCCATGGGGGTCCCCAGGCCGATGGCAAGAGAGAAGCCTGTCTGAGCATAATCGCTGGGAGGGAAAGAAAATCTTTTTGAACCGAAAAATGTGAAACAAATTAAGGAGAAAATGCAACCTTGCAAAAGCTGAAATACTTAGTTGGCAGAAAGGATGAGACTTTCATGGGGCCTTCCTCGCAGGCATCAGCTGATCTAGTATTTGTTTTTCTCTTGAGTCCGGCTTCTCTTTTACCCAGATATAAATAACGCAGTCCCTCTCTGTCCCTGTCTGTCTCTCTTCTCAACTCAATAGGTCCCTATGCAGTTTTAACCAAAGACACGTTGCCTCAGACCTACAAAAGGAAGCGTTCCTGGTCCAGAGCTGTTTTTTCCAACCTGCAGAGGAAAGGCTTAGAGAAAAGGTTTGAAATCCAGAAATATGTCACCAAGCCGGACAGAAAACAACTGGCAGCGATGCTGGGACTAACGGACGCCCAAGTAAGAGCCGCTTTATGTTGTTTCCTTCACTTCAATCCAGTCAGATGCACTTAGATGCATTTTAAAATCTTCGCCCCCCCCTCCCCCCCCCGGCCCTTTCCCTTCTCTAGATTGTGTGGGGTTTATTTAAAATATGATCATTTCACGCGAGGGATATGCACGCACCTTAAACGCATCTTTCTAGTTACAATGCAAACCCATGCGTTTTTATGGGACTAAACACCCTGCAGCAAGAGAAAAAAATCCCAATAAAGGAACCCGACAGTTTGTGTCATGATTCCCAACGCGTTTGCTTTGGCAAATGCAGAGGAGCACAAACAATGCAGCGAACAAGCCATGGGGGACAGTAATTACGCACTTTATTGAAGTGCAACTCGGTGTAGGAGGCAGTTGAGTTCAAAGAAGGTAAAAACGAAGATTTTTTCTTTATAAATTCTTTTTTTCTGGATTGTGAAATCCCTAGTTGTGAGGAAGTGAAAACTCCCTTTCAAACGGAATCATTAAACGCTACTCAGTAATGATTTCACTATTATATGGCCCACAGTACACAGAATCGTATAACGTTGTGGTCTGTTGAGCAAGATTTGGTTTCCTGGAAGAAAAAGATGACGACGAAAAAGAAGAAGAAGGGGGCAGGGGGGAGGACTTTTTTTTGTATTCAGACACGCAAAGAAGCAAACAAAAAAAAAAAAAGAGAGAGAAATCTTACATCCCTAAAATATTTTTGGTGAGAGGAAAACGAGGAGAGCTTCTCCCCCGCCTCTTGCTCTCAGCTCGGACTGTTTGCTCTGGGCATTTTGCAAGTGTGAGGCTGGAAGCTGCAGGGCTCGCCTCGGTTTCTTTCACATATGTAGAAAAGCTACATCAAGCATGATCCTTCTCGTCCTCTGGTTGTTCCCTTTCCCAACGCAGCTTGAGAACTGCGAGCTCAGAAACCCTCAAGGGGGCCGAGATATATGTGCTAGTATGTAGCACTGCCTATCTATCCAGGGATACATGCAATGCGCGGTGTGCGCCTAGAGCTTTTGCAGTATCTACAGTATATTTATAGTATGCCATATATACAGTATATACTATAAAAATATAGTACTAATATTTCTAACATACATAGTATGTATTGTATATCTAGACTATAAATACGCACCCACGGTAAATCAAAGATTTGAATATAGTATATCCTATCCAAAATATACTGATATTACTAACACACGTAGTATTGGTTGTATATCTAGGCTACATATAAGCACTCACAGTAAATTGGAAAATAGAATAGAGTATATACTATCCAAAATAATAGTACTAATATTCCTAGCATACATAGTATGTGTTATATACCTATTTGCACCGGGCGATAAGTTGGAGGACGGAATGTAGTATACTATCCAAAATGTAGTAGTGACATTACTAGCATACTATGTAATATAACACATTCTTACACCAAATAGTAGTACTGTGTTACATACCTAGATTATATATTCAGACCTCCAGTAAATTACAAAATATAGTATATATACTATCCAAAATACAGTACTATTACTAACATATATAATATGTATATAGATACTATATCAGCACTCCCAGTAAATTAATGAATGGAATGTAATATACACTATTATACAGTATAGTACTACTGCATAGTTCAGTATACAGTATAGTACTACTATTACTAACATATATGTTATTCAGTATTATTACTAACCTATATGCTATGTGTTATAGACCTAAATGATGCATCTGCACCCCCAGTAAATTGGAGAATGGAATATAGTATATAGTATCATCTGTATGGTACAGTATATACTGTACTGGCATATGTACAGTATGTATTGTTACTGGCATAGGTACTATGTGTTATATATTCAGACTATATATCTACATCCCCCAGTAAATTGGAGACTGGAATATATATAATATCCAACATACAGTACCATTACTAACATATCTAGTACGTATATACCTAGATTATATATCTACACCCCCAGTAACATGGAGACTGGAACATGATGTATACTATCCAAAATACAGTACTACCATTATTAACACATCTAGTATGTATATACAGTATCTAGATTATATATCCACATCCCCAGTAAATCGGAGACTGGAATATAATATATACTATCCAAAAGACAGTGCTACTATTACTAGCATATGTAGTATGCATATACCTAGATTATATATCTGCCCCCGCAGTGAACTGGAGAGTGGAATATACACTGTATACTATCCAAAATGCAGTACTGCTATTACTAACACATCTAGTATGCGTATACCTAGATTATATATCTGCACCCCCAGTAAATTGGAGAGTGGCATATAGTATATGTACTCTCCAGAATACAGTACTACTACTAACATATCTAGCGTGTGTCTACCTAGATTATATACCCGCACCCCTCGGTAAATTGGAGCCTGGAGCACAGTGTGCGCTATCCCAGCCATAGCCCCACTGACCACCGCGGGCTGTGTGCGCACCGGAGGAGGGGTGCTGCACTGGTGGAGCCTTTCCCTTCCCGGGAGAACATCCCGGGGTGCGGGGCAGCGGGCAGGACGTTCCCGGGCGCGGGGGGACGCGTGTGCCCAAGTCCCGCGCCTGGCGGCGTCCAGAGGGGCGCCCCGGGGGCGGGCGGGCGGCTGAGCGCGGGGCTGTGCTGTGCCCGCAGGTGAAGGTGTGGTTCCAGAACCGGCGCATGAAGTGGCGGCACTCCAAGGAGGCGCAGGCCCAGAAGGACAAGGACAAGGAGCCGGCCGAGAAGCCGGGCGCGCTGCCCGCCGCCGCCGCCGCCGCCGCCGGGG